AGTAAGTCAGGGGTAATTAAAGAAAGATTAGCCATGTCTTAGGGTTTCTATTGCTCTGAGAGATGTCATAACCACAATAACTCTTATAAAGAAAAACATTTAACGGGGTGGCTTACAGTTTCAGAGGTTTAGTCCATTATCATCGTGGTGGCGTTCAGGCAGACATGGTGCTGGAGCTGAGAGCCCTAAGCTTTGATTGCAGGCAAGAGGAAGTGAACTGCAATACTGGGCATAGTTTGAGCACATGTGAGACCTCCACAGTGACACACTTCCTCCAAGAAGGGCACACCTACTCCAACTGTCACCCCTCAGTAGTGCCATTCCCTATGAGCTTGTGGTGGCCAGTTACATTCAAACTACCACATTCTACTCCCCGGCCTCCATAAGCCTGTAACAATATCACAGTGCAAGATGCTTTTAGTCCAGCTTCAAAGGTCCCCATAGTCCATCACATTCTCAACAATGTTTAAAAGTCCAAAGTTCAAAGTCTCTTCTGAGATTTAGTTTCTTAACTGTAATTCCTTATAAATTAAAAAAAATCAAAAAACAGATCACACACTTCCAACATATAATGGCACAGGCTATCCATTACAGTTCCAAAATGTAGGGAAGGGAGCATAGTGAGGAAATACTGGACCAAAGCAAGACTGAAAACCAGCTGGGCAAACTCCAAACTTTGCATGTCTGATGACAAAGCACTCCAGATCTCCAACTCCTTTTAGCTTTGTTGACTGCAACATACTTCTTTCTCTTGGGCTTGTTCCACTCCCTGTTAGCAGCTTTCTTCAGCAGGTATCCCATGGCTCTGGCATCTCTAACATCTTGGGTTCTCCAATGCAATCTAGGCTTCAACTTCACAGCTTCACGCAATGATCTTTCTACTAGGCCTCCATTCAGGGACACCCTGGCGCATGCCTGGCCTCAGCAGCTTTCTTTAGGGGCAGAGACAGATTCCATAAATCCTTTTTTCTATCCTTAACTCTAAAGCCAGAACCATGTGGCCGAAGCTGCCAAGTTCTGCTGCTTGCTGGGACTGGAACATGAGCCCCTTATTCAACTACATCTTCACTAGCTTTCTGTTTTCCTTCATCAATTAAGTTTGACTATCCTGGAACTTGTTCTGTAGACCAGGCTGGCCTCGAACTCACAGAGATCTGCCTGCCTCTGCTTCCTGAGTGCTGGGATTAAAGGCATGTGCCACCACCACAGTGGCTTGAAAGTTTTCTTTAATTCCTTTTCACAAATTGGAAACTTAGCTGGGTGGGGTCTTGCCCTGAGGTCACCACTCCCCATTCCATTTCTTTTTTGTTTGTTTGTTTTATTTTTTTGAGACAGGGTTTTACTGTGTAGCCCTAGCTGTCCTGGAACTCACTCTATAGACCAGGCTGGCATTGAACTCATAGAGATCCACCTGCTTTTGCCTCCCGAGTGCTGGGATTAAAGGCGTGTGCCACCATTACCCTGCTTTATTTCATTTCTTAATCTGTTTATCTCCTTGAACACAGGATTTACCTTATTCTACTTCCTGGTGCTCCTTTTCTCCTCAAATTTTACATTTTGTATTTTCACTTGTTCCTTTTCATTATAAATCTTCATTAGTTAACACTAATAACTACACAACAGAATCTATACTAGGCCTTTTTGAGATTTCCTCTGCCAACATAATTAATCCAAAACTTTTTACTTTTAACCTCAGGCAGACTTTTGGGACAAGGGCAAAAAGCAGCCACATTCTTAACCAAAAAAATCACAAGACTGATCTCTAGGCCACACACTAACATTCTCCTCTGAAATACCTTGATCCAGGCCCCCACAGTTCAAATCACCCTCAGCACCACTGTCTTCCATGCTCCTACTAGGATGGCCCATTAAGCAGCACTTAAGGCATTCAACTGCTTTTCTAATCCACAGTCCCAAGGTCCATATTCCTTCAAACAAAAGCTTGGCCAGGCCTATCACAACAATACCTCACTCCCTGGTACTAACTTCTGTCTTAGTTAGGATTTCTATTGCTAGGAAGAGACATCATGACCACAGCAACTCTTATACGGGAAAACATTTATTTGGGTAGCTTACAGTTTCAGAGGTTCAGTCCATGACCATCATGGTGGGACATGGCAGCGTGCAGGCAGACATGGTGCTGGAAAAGGAGCTGAGAATGGGGATGGGGTTACATCTTAATTCCACAGGCAACAGGAAGTGAACTGAGATACTGGGCATGACTTGAGCATATATGAGACCTCAGAGCCCAAACCCACAGTGACACACTTCCTCTGGCAAGGCCATACCTATTCCAACAAAGTCACACCTCCCAATAGTGCCATTCCCTATGAGCTTAAGGGAATGAGCCAATTAGATTCAAACTACTACACCACCTGACCCCAGCTTCACCACATGTGTGTCCATATGACTGTTTTTTTTTTTATTCCCTCATTGCCCCTAGCCAGGGGTCCAGGATGCAAGCCACATGGGACATGGAACTGCAGCATTCCCTCAGCTCCTCCCCCCTCAGCACCTGTGAATGGAGGCTGAGTCCTGGGCACCAGAGGTCTTCAGCTATTTCCTGTGAGAACAGAGGTCCCTGGACAGTGAGACCCAGCAGTAACCAATGACACCCTTCACTCTGTAGGGCTCTTGTCCTCCTTTCTTTTTGTGTCTTACATAAGAGTCTTGACCATGCTATGACCCACAGGTATAGGTTTTCTCACAGACTGGGGCCCTAGAGGCCTTGAGAGTTCTATCTAGTGGGACATCCATTATAGAATGCTTAGAACAGTGCCTTGGGGGGCTCCTGTCATAGCTTTTGGGTGACCCCAGAGACAAATTCAAGCAGCATGAAGCATGTTCTGAGTGCTTAATCTTTTCCATTTTGGGTTGTTTGTTTGAGGCAAGGTCTTTCTGTGTAGCCCAAGCTGGCCTGGAATTTGCTATATAGACCAGGCTGGCTTCAAACTCACAGAGATCCATCTGCCTCTGCCTCCTAAGTGCTGGGATTAAAGGTTTGTAGCACCATGCCTGGCTCTTCTCTAAACAACCTAGACTTTCCAGAAGTTTGTCTATTTCTTTAAATACCAGGTCTCCCTGTCTTGCTCAACTAGTCTCATGGTTTTACATTTGTGAGTTCAAACAATTCCCTGCCTCAGCCTTCTGAGCAGCTGAGAGCAGCTTTATCTATGTTGACTATTATTTTCAATCATTTACATTATGTGATGGATAGTTTTATAGTAGACACAAGCTACAGTCTTCTGAGAGGAGGAAACCTCAATTGAGAAAATGGCTCCATAAGATGGGGCTGTAGGTAAGACTTTAGGGCATTTTTTAAATTAGTGATTGGTATGGGAGGGCCCAGCCCATTATGGGTGGTACTATCCTGGGCTAGTGATCCTGGGTTCTATTAAGAAAACAGACTGAGTAAGTCATGGAGAGGAAGCCAATAAGCAACACCCCTCCATGGCCTCTGCATGAGCTCCTGCCTCCAGGTTCCTGCCCTGTTTGAGTTCCTGTCCTGACTTCCTTTGATGATGAACAGTGATATGTTAAGTATAAGCCAAATACACCCTTTTCTCCCCAAGTTGGTTTGGTCATGGTGTTTCATTTTTCATATGAAAATGTCATATTTCATTGCAGCATTAGTCACAATAACTAAAACACACCTTGGGCCTCAATGGACCTGCTCTTGGATGACCATTCTACAGAAACACCACAACCTGTAGAGAAATGCTGACTGGTGGGTTGAATACAGCTGCTATGGAATGTCTGTCTGTACGCTGTGAATGTGTGTGGCTCTCATTGGATAATAAATAAAGCTGTTTTGGCCTATGGCAAGAGAGCTTACAGCCAGGTGGGAAATCCAAGCAGAGATACAGAGAGAAGGGCAGGGTCAGGAGAGATGCCTGCTGCCGCCAAAGGAGCAACAAGATGCCAGCAGACCTGTAACGCCACGGCCATGTGGCAACATATAGATAATAGAAATGAGTTAATTTAAGACAAAAGAGTTAGCCAGCAAGAAGCTGAAGCCATAGGCTTCAGTTTGTAATTAATATAAGCCTCTGAGTAATTATTTTATAAGCGGCTATAGGACCATGGGTGGGAGAGATTTGTCTGGACCTTGGGGCCAGGCAGGGCCAGAGAAACTTCCGGCTACATACAACATTGTCCATCAGGCATGAATGGAAGACAGTATAATGAGTCTTTTTCTGTCCTGCCAGCCAGTTCCCAAACAATGGTATGGAGACTTCTTATTAATTATGAAAGCTTGGCCTATAGCTTAGATTTGTTCCTAACTAGCTCTTATAACTTAAATCAACCCATTTATATTAATCTACATTCTATCACATGGTGTTACCTCCATCTTGTACCTCCTATTTCCTCTCTGTGTCTCCCGGCATCTCCTGCATGCCTAGATTCCTCCTCCTCTTCCTTTCTCTCCCCAAAATCCCACCTATGCCACCTACCTAGCTATTGGCCATTCAGCTTTTTATTATACCAATCACAGCAATATACCTTCACACAGTGTACAAATATCCCACAATGATGCAGCCCAGCAAGGAACATGTACACTAAATGGGATGGTGCCACCTACATTCAAAGTAGGCCTTCCCACCTCAATTAACCCAATATAAAAGCTGTTTAATGCACATGCCCAGAAGGCTGGTGACCCTAGGTCCTGTCACGTTAACAGTATTAACCATCACACTAGGAAAATACAATTGAATTATTTAAACAAAACAAAATAAAACAGCAAGTCCTTTTGAAATTAAGGTGTATGTAGGAAGAGATGACCCAAACAAGTGCATGAAGGTCTTGGGAGGAAGGATGCCTCCCTTTAAGGGCAGTTTTCTGGATGGAGGTATTAAGGTTTTGGTGAAGGGAAAGCAGATTTACGCTCTCTGATTAATCCAGGCCTCAACAGGGGGCAGGGACATAGGCAGCCAGTTTCCCTGGGCGGGGGATGGGCTGGCTCATCCACGTGAGATGTCCTCTCAGTGCTGTGCCCACAGGCAGCATGGAAAGGCTAAGGAAGACCCTGTGCTCCAGAGGCTGAGGCTTCCTGTGCCAGCATGCAGGAAGATGTCTTCAGTTCATGCTGCCCTGGATCCTGGCACAACCTCCTTCCCTGGACCAAATGCTTAAAGAGGTAAACACAGCAGGAACCAACAGCTGTTTGCAGAGGAACTGAGACAGTGTCTCTCAGACAATGCCCAAGTCGTGAGCATCCAGGTTGGGGAGGGGCAGGGAGGTGAAGAAATGGCTTTCCCCTCCTCTGAGGGCCAGTGGGAGATGGAGGAGCAGATGATTGGCAGTACCACAGAGAATAGCTAGTACTCAAATTCTTACAAAAGCTGGAAGGACTGCACATTCTGAGCCAGCTCTGTTGGCAAATAACTACCAACATGAGCGCCAGCCGTGATAGGCTGGAGGAAAATAGCTTCAGTACCACAGAGGATGCAGAAGGTGGTTAGCCCTGTGATCTTGACTTCAGAAAGTCAAAGTAGGAATTTAATCTCTAGTGTAATAATTCCGCTTGATAGGGACAGCAGTGAAAATGATGTAGCTTTAACGTTAAGCACGGAGGTGCTAGTGAGAATGATTTCTTGCGGAAGACTGCGTTAGACAAGTCGTTATTCTGGGCAGCGCCCCGGATCCCAGCAGCCGCTGTGTCGTCGTCATGCTGTGTCGTCAGCTGCTTTGCAAAGCATGTTTATAGACACTGTCCACTGCCCTCGCCGGCTGCTGGAGAAAGGCAGATTTCGAGGTGTAGCACAAAATGCCAGATTTTCCCAGCATGTAATTTAGTCTCTTGCTTGGAGGCCTCCATATTACGTGGTTATCACAAAATTATCCTTTCATAAAAATGCATGCTTTGTGGTCCCTATTTTATTAATTTGGCATGTCATTTCATCCGTCACCATAGATGCCAGGGATTCCATTTGTCACAGTTACTGGCTGGTTAGCAGCGCGTGCACATGCTGCGTCCTATCTCCCCACTCCCAGGCTTCGTAGAAATGTGTGTCTTGATCTACAAAGGACAGTGCTGGAACAATGGCTGTTAGCGATCCTGCCACTGCGGCAGTTTCATTGTCAAATCATCAGAATGGGTTTTCTTTTTGTTTTCTTACAGAAACATTTTCTGTCCTGGAAAGAGGATGCCTAGTACAGTTATATCATATCATATCATATCATATCATGTCATGTCATGTCATGTCATGTCATGTCATGTCATGTCATGCTATGTCATATCTATCTATCGTCTATCTATCATCTATCTATCTATGATATATACTTGTGGAAGGTACAACAGCAAGTCCTATGAGCAAAGAACCACCTCCCAGTGGGAGCTCAGGCCCCTCTGGTGACACCAGAACTTCCAGGAGGGCAAGCTGGAGACTGGAGGAGCCGCCGCTGGCAGCTTGCAGAGCTGCCCTAATTGCTATCAGTCAAAACAGAAGGTGGATTTGACAGTGCAACTCCATGTTAGCATTTCTCACTTTATCTACTTAAATGTGATAAATGAGAGAGCCGTGATTTATTGCATCAGCAAGGTGATTCTTTTATTATTCATTTTGGTGATGCTGGAGACCTAATATCTGGGCCTCCCAGATATAGATGAGCGTTCCTCCACTGAGCTGCATGCAGCCTGACCCAATGGTACGATTCTCAGCTAGCCACATGCATTGGAGTGTCTGCCTCTCCCATCTTCCCTGAAACAAGGTTCCCCTCCTTCAGATTATGGAGGACCTAAGTTCCAGATCCCAGTATCCTGGGAAGTCTATGATGAGTGGGCTTATGGTGAGAGGCTGTGGTGGTTCAAAAGAAAATGGCCCCCAAAGGGAGTAGCACTATTAGGAGGTGTGGTCTTGTTGGAGGAAGTGTGTTACTGTGGAGGCAGGCTTGAGGTCTCATATATGCTCAAGATACTGCCCAAAGTCTTAGACCACTTCCTGTTGCCTGCGCAAGATGTAGAACTCTCAGCTACTTCTCCAGCATCATGTCTGCCTGCACACTGCCGTGTCCCATGATAATGAACTAAACCGCTGAAACTGTAAGCCTTTTCCTTTTTAAGAGTTGCCATGGTCATGGTGTCTCTTTACAGCAATGGAAACCCTAACTAAGACAGAGGCAGAGCTGGGATCTTGGGGATGGGGAGCATAGGGTCTCTATGCCCTCATCTCCTTCCGGAAGCAGGGCCAGGCCAGAGCACTGCCCCCCCTTCCCTACACCCCTTCAGATGGAGTGTGGGGCTCAGGACACAGAATGGCAATCCTAAAAGGTGGTAGACAGTGAGAAGGGGCGGAACTGCTGCCCTCACTGTGCCTCTCAAATGGACCTGCTGCGCCCAGGTGGGAGTCTCACGACTGTCTTCCACCAACCCCAAAGTGAATCTCTGCAACATCAGGCAAGATGGCAAAACAGTAAACAAAGCCTTTATTAGAGAGATTAAGTGAGACCCAAATAAGGGGAGACCGAGGCCTGGTCAGGTGCTTGCGTTTGGATTTTAGTGTCTCTTGTGTCTCTTCTGACACAGGTCAGTAGGACCCTCCGTGCTGATTTTGAGGTATGGCTCTAGAGATTACTGTGTAGACCTCTAGCACATCATGATTTGCTCATATGCTGCATTCATAAAATGAGACCATCATCAGTGTGGTTTTACTTGACGTCCTTCCTCCTTGGTGCGCCTGTGTTCTGGTGGTTTTTGCTTCTGTCGTATTATAACCCCAACAGAGTGCCGATGCTTTTGCAGTCAACAGTTTAGAGAAAGAATCTCTTTCCAAATAGATGGTAAATAAACAGACCCTCTCCGTTTGTTTTTTCCCTTCCTAACATGTATGTGCATCATAAGTGTGTAAAGTGTCGCTCATTCACTTACATATCTAATCTCTTGCTTCTCTCATCTCTTCATGCAAATTCAGTTTTTAACAACGCCATTCATTCACCCTCCAGAGCTCTGCTTGTACCTACTGTGCAGACCTTCCAGAAATGAGCCTTCTCAGCTTTGTCCACCTTTAGTCTTGTTCTGTGAAGATTAGGTCACACCCTGCCCAAAGACACTCCACATTGTTTGGAACAGTGGCTTTCAGGCTGTGCCTTACCTGAGGTGACTCCATTTTATTCATAGCACTCGGCTCTGTTTTGAGAGTAAACACAGAGGCAGGATGATTCTGCACCTTGTTCCTGGATGTAGAAGATACCACATGCTCTGTACTAACCATGAGGCATGGACTGATTATACAAGTGAAAAGCTACCACCTAGAAACTTACAAAGTAGATCAGAAAAATAGGAGTGCATGGAGATATTAAAGCCATATCAGAGGGGCTGGAGAGATGGCCCAGCAGTAAAGAGTGCTTGCTGCTCTTGCAGAGGACCCAAGTTCAGTTCTCAGCACCCACATTAGGTGGCTCACAACAGGCTATAACTGCAGTTCCAGGGGATCTGATGCCTCTGGCTTCTGCGGGTATCTGCATACACATGCTCCTATTTATACAGAGACACACTCACATGTAGACAAATAACTAAGTAAAATAAACCTTAAAAAAAAAAAAAACACATCAGACAAACCAGGCCCCGGAGCTTATGGAGCATATGATAACAAGGAAAGGTGCAATGCTGTCACCTGGAACCTATAAGTAGGAGGGCATGTTCCACTGTGATGACTGTGACAGCCACCACTGACCTGTTATCCAGACACCTTGTGTGTGGGTAAAGGGACCAAGAGGCAGAGAATTCCTGACTCTCCCAGGACTTCAACTCAGTTGATCCCCAGGGCTTTACATGGTCCAATTGAATTTTAAATTGTCCACTCATTACCCATCTACCCACCCACCCACCTATCTTTTTAGACAGGTCCTACACCTTACCTTGGTGGCCCTATGCTTCTGTGGCTCCACCAAACCCTGCAGTTTAGTTTTCCTCCAGCAGCTGATGCCAACCTTGGTTCCTTTTAGTGTCTTGTCTACCTACCTGTGTTGGACCCCAAATATGGGGGTCTCAAGTGGGCGCCCCAAGAACCCAGACTCCTGTTCAGTTGATGCAATAACAAGAGGTTTTTATTGAAGCTTCTATATAGAAGGGCAAACTCTGCTCCTAAGAGCAAGAGCTGCAACTTACAGCAGCCCCATGAGTGCTTTTTAAAGGAAAAACCCACAAAAGCTATAAGGTTACAATTTCCATACAATTTCGTCTCACAAGATCATGGTCTGGTTACAGAGTGATCACAGAGGGGGTACAGTTACGTCAACAGGTACATTCTTCCTGAAAACTCAAGGGGGGATATCAGGGCAGGAGTGGAGTTTACACACAGGTCACGGTGGTCCTTCCTGGAACACCTGCAACTATCCCAGTCACAGTTGAGCACATCTCTTAACAGAAATCTTTTTAAATTGTTATATGGTTGCAGGGGAGATTGAACAATGGCTAAGTCAGGTTGC